TAGCCTGCAGCGAAGAATAGCCATCAGGATCGCACGAGGATATCGAACGATATCCTTTGAGGCGGCCACTATCCTTGCTCGGTTTCCACCACTGGACATCCTGGCGGAGATGGATGCGCGAGTTTATACTCGCCTCCGGTTACCCCAGGATGATGCCGAGCCCCTGGATGCGGGCGAGGTGCGGGAGCAGGAGCGTACACGGGGGTTGGAGATTTGGCGCGAGCGCTTGGGAGAAGCTCGGAACTCGCGCCAACGAATCGTCACTGCGTTCCTGCCCAGCTTCGAAGCCTGGCTAAGTGCGAGGGGATTCGCGCACGTCACCTTCCGGTTGACGCAGGTGCTCACCGGGCACGGATGCTTTGGTGAGTACCTAAATAGAATTGGACGCGAACCGACAACGCAATGCCACCATTGTGGTGGGGACCGGGACTCCGCGCAACACACTCTTGCAGAGTGCCCCGTTTGGGAGTCAGAACGTCGGATCCTGGTCCAAAAGCTCGGGCAGAACCTGTCTCCACCAGTTGCAGTGGCGGCTGCACTGATTGAGAAATCTGCTTGGATGGCACTGGTCTCCTTCTGCGAAGCAGTCATGCTCCAGAAGGAGATCGCTGAGCGGGAACGGGAGAGGGCCGACCCCGCTCGGAGACGAAGGCGCGCGGGTGGTAGAAACGGACGAGCCGCTCCGTCAGCCCTGTAGTCACGGGCTTATAGAATAGGGCTAAGGTATCCCCTGCCTGTCGTAAAAGGCGACTAAAAGGGGACACGGATGGGCAGCACACGAAGTGGTCTCGTGTTGCTGTAAGAGGGTGAGGGGGTTGGAGAAGGTTTATCCTTCTCCGAGGCGTGCTCAGGCGTAGTACCGAGGGACACTGGTGCGTTCCATGGGAGATCCCGGAGTCCCTCCAAATGTACAGAAGGTGGCCACCGAGGGGGTTTTAGTGGGTAAGAACCCCACATAACCCTGTCATGTAAAGTGACAGGGTATCTTTTGAAGATTTCCCCCCCGATACCAAAAAAAAAAAAAAGATGCGTTGCCAGCCGAATGACGAAACATAAAAGTATAGTTCTTATACTTCATTCCGATCTTCTGTGAGGCCGAGGTACTTCCCCGGACAGCTATGTAGTCTACGATAGTGTCTTACCTTTTTTGCTTATTTTTTTAAACATGCCCTTGCTTTAGGATAACAGTATCCTGTGTTGTAAGGACGTTTTACAAACATAAATTTCACGCGGACAAACACCCAGATGCAAAATAACTATCTGTGGGACACACAAATAATTGTACCGTGTGGGGATCGAATCCACGACCCCCGACGCCGAAGCCAATACCTTGGCAGCTGCGCCACGGACTCATCGTTAGTTACTTACGTTACGGAGTTAATATTATTTAGTGCATCTTAATGTATTAATAAAAATCGCTCTCCGCTCACAGTCAGGGCACACCTCGTCGCGAACTCATTTCAGGGTTGAGCGAGCACCCAACCGCCTCACCACCGCTGCGGTAACTCGCACAACCTAACTTCACACATTGTATATAGCCCGATCGACAAATCTATATCGCTCCATATAGACTCGTAATGTAAATATACTAGGCTGTGTAGAAAATCCTTGTTCATATAAAATATTTTATGGAACTGTGCACACTGTATGAATAATAACTACAGTGTAACTCTTAATTGACAATGTAGTTAATGTACGTATACATTATAATACTTACATAATATTTTACTCGTAAAATTTTTTCATTCATTCACTCTTTGTCATTTTATACAATTATTTGGTATTGGTCTACACATCATTGTCAATTTGAAAAATTTGGTTTTTTGATTACTACACAATGATGTCAATTCCATAGACCTGTATTTCGCATAGGCTATATATATTGCCTAGTTGACTACATATAAGTTAATTTTACTGAAGATTTTGGATGACGAATTATAGCGCCGTCCATGGTTACCCACAACACTTGTAGGGTTGCAATTGCAGACACAGCCAAGAACATTAAGAGTGTCCGCTGTTTACCTCACTCGGCGCAACCATCCTACGAAACGACGCAGCCCAACCGTAGAATAACTGAAACTAATGCAATGGTCTTCTACAGATATAAATACTAACTAATAGAAAAAAGGCTCTTTTTCAACCGGTTGTAAAAATTTCTCTAAAAAGAATTCAGTGGTAAAAAAGGTTTTTTTTATGTTTGTTACCTTGGAACTCCGTTATTTTTGAACAGATTTAAAAAAATATTTTTGCGTTGCGTTCGGTTTACCTCCGCTGTGGTCCCATATTAATTTCATTGGTACTGGTCCCTGGAATCTGGAGATACATTAGGAAACACCTCAAAATTCAATATAAAATATAAGTGAGTAAGATATTTAATATCAGTTGTGTTTTCTGTTTACAAAAATGTTTTGCTTGTTACCTGGATGAATAAGTTCATCAATGGTAGGTTACTTTATAATTTGAACGTGATACTATGCAACTACCCCACGAGGCGTAGTTGCCAAGGTATTGGCTTGGCGTCGGGGGTCGTGGGTTCGATTCTCACACGGGACAACTATTTGTGCGACCCACAGATTGTTGTTTCGCATCTGGGTGTTTGTCTACGTGAAATGAATGTTTGTAAAACGTCTTTACAACACAGGATAATGTTATCCTAGAAGAAGGGCAATGTTTTTTGAAGAAAAAGGAAAAAAAGAAAAAAAACTATGCATATACACATATTTTTTTATGTAAGAAGGTGATAAGCCAGCTGGCGGTTCATCATATGTTAAATGATAACCGCGGCCCATGGATTTGCAACACCCATAAGATTGCAGATGCGTCGCCACCTTTTAATAAAGTGGGCCCCGGCGACCTCTCACCAGACTCTAGCAACAAAAAAGACTGCTACGTGGCTCTACCACAGCCAGTCTGTGGAGAAAATGCACTTATCAAAATACATATATGTACTTCCAGATGTTATGTAATGTTGCAACTTCTCTTTATTATTGACTAGCGACCCGCTCCGACTTCGCACGGGTGAATGTATTCTCTTGTATCTTGTATTAACTGATGTTTGTGCTTTCAGTCCCGAGACTATTAAAACTTCATCTGACGCAGAACCGGTGGGCTAGCCAGAACCTACGGGTTTGGGCCCTCCGCAGTGGGTAGGGCCGATTATTGTGGGTAGGGCCGATGAATGTATTGTATGTGTTATTATACATATAGATCTTCCTGTTGAATCAGTCTATCTAGTAAAAAAACCGCATCAAGATCCGTTGCGTAGTTTTAGAGATCTAACCATACATAGGGACAGACAGACAGCGGTATGACTTTGTTTCATACTATGATGAGTTTGTTTCATAGTGATTTCTATTTATTATTGCTTAGTTTGCGCAAAATCAATGTATTAGACATAATAGTTCATTGAATGACATATTAAGTTATTGTTACACATTCCGTTCAGCGTGTGAAAAATATTAGGTAATATATTATTTTTTCTTTCTTTGTAAATATCTGTATACTGTCAAATACATAAACAATTCAATATATATACCACACAGCAATATACGATCGTATCAAGATAGGATTTTTTTTGAGAAATTTGATTTGATTATCGAAAGTACGTAGTAGAGGCTACAGCGATCTTCTACGCAAGTCCATATTGTGGTCAGCGCTGACCAGCCAATTTGTTTCTTCGCTCATTTGATAGGTGATGTAATACACGAGTAGAGAGCTGTCTGCGACCGCAACACTGATGGTGTCTGCATTTCAGTGTTGTTATCGACAGTAATGCGGTTGCTGGCTACTTTGTACCCCATGATAGTTGAATGCGTGCGTAATGATTCTACGCGTGTTTTAAAATTGACTCGCACGTTAGGAGTGTTTCAATAAAGTAACGTAACAAAAGAAGTGTGGCAGGGCCACGCAACTGTCCTCACTGTTGTACAAAATGGGCAGGTCCGTCCGGGGAAGTACCACGACCTTATAGAATATAGGCGTAAAGTGGAACTTCTGCATTTCGTCTGGGCAGTGAGTTATTCGGGCTCACTTTATTAAACGGTGGCAACGCATCTGCAACCCTACGGGTGTTGCAAATGTCCATGGGTTGCGGTAATCATTTAACATCATTTGATCTGCCATCGTTTGCTATCTTGTTACTTAAGAGAGGAACTATCACAGATTTTTTATTTTTTTATTGACCAGTTATTTTTGCTCCCTAGTAGTTTGTGGCTCTTGTTAGGATTATATAAACGCACGGATTTTTAAATCGAAAATGTTCAACGACATTTTGCTCGGCTATAAAAGATGTATCCTTGTTTCCAGCTTAGAGTTAAAAAACCTTATAACCGTCTTCATTTTCCTGCATTTTACTGTTTAATCTACTTAAAACATATACCAGCGATCTATTGAAATAACTTTGCTAGATATCACAACGTTCTCGTTATTTTTTCGGTGCATTGTAGTCTTTTCAGTAGAAATGTCAAAAACGTCTCTTACAGGAACTATTTTCGACTTATGTTTATATAGTTTTGTTATTAATTTAAGCTCTCGCATAGAATACTATTTTGGTGGAAAATTATTTCCAGCACATAAGAATGTCAAAATATAACCGGTAGTTCCTAGATTCAGGCCTGAACTCGGAAACCTGAGGAAAACAAGCTTGAAACTGTGCAGTCACCATAGTTTTGTAGTCCCCTATTCACGAGCAATTAAACGTTCGCTGAAAGTTTTCATTTTTTTTAAATCACTTACCAATTGAGCATTACAAAGACTCTAATAAATTATTTATTTTGACATGAAATATATTATAACCTGCTTTATATATTTAATATTAAACTCATTTGAAAGCTGATAAAAAAGTAAACCATTTAAACGGGCTGTGCAATAACTTTTGATAGCATCGGCGGAATGTTTCAAAGGTTGTAAAACAACGATCAATTAATACGTTGATTTGGCGGGGGTCGCTTCCATCTGTTCCGGCCGAGTGGCACCGAGGGTGCTTCACGTTTCGCGACAAAATGACGAAATTGGCGCGCGACGGGTCGCCGCCGCGGCAGGCCTGTCACCCGCTGGGAGCCGTCGAGCACATGTCGCTAGCAGAACGGGGTAAGGCCCGTTTGCGCCCAAAGCGTTACTGTATTCAATTACGGCCCTTAATAACGCCCACAGCTCGTGCATGCCGAAAACTCACCTCGCACCCGTGTGCGGTACGCGGATGTGAGCCTAGCTTTGTTTTTATGTGATAAGTTGCCAAGCGAGCAGGCGCTTCACCTGATGTTAAGTGAATACCGCCGACGATGGACATCTGCTGCACCCGAGGGTTCCAGGTGCGTTGATATACTTTTGGAATTTGGGCTCCGGCTACCTCACTCACCGGGCGAAATGCGAAATTATTATATATATATTATACTTCCACTTGGCGCCGGTCTTCTGTGAGGTCTTGGTACTTACTCGGACGAGCCTGCCCATTCGTGCAACAGCCGAGGCTTCTGCGTGGCCCTACCACCGTAGTATATACTAATCTAATCCGATCGTAGGGCGAATCTACGCTACGTAGAACTTTTATTTTGATGCTGACGATGACTCCGTGATGTAGTTGCCAACGTATTTACTTCAGCGTCGGGCGTCGTAAGTTCGATTCCCGCACGGGACATCTATTTGTGTGACCCACATATAATTGTTTCGGATCTGGGTGTTTGTCCACATGAAATTTATGTATTTAAAGCGTCCTTACAACACAGGATCCATGTAACATTCAAATTTAAAACAAAATATAAGGCCATAAAGTCCTTAAAACAACTTTATTTAAGGCTTCTTTCCAAGGCCCTGTTTGTTTGGGTTTCCGTTTTACACATTTTCCTTTTGAACCAATTCTTCCATCTCTTTAATATCAATGTCTACCTATACGTAGTAGTAAAATATCGTAGTAGACATCCTGAGGAGACTGTAAACCGTCAAACCAGTCGATCTATCTCGGGCTTCTTACAATGACGCTCAATTTCATCGCTTGATTAGACCAGGACACAGGCTTCAGATGCGAATCATGGTTTCAATTCTCAACATAGACAAATATCGTTCACACACAGGTTCCAATCCCGCAGCGTCGAAAGTTTTTGTTTATTTGTCTGCAAATATTCAGTATTCAAAATTTCATCTTGAGACCAGCGCTAAAATTAAAAATTAATTATAAAAGTGTTTAATTTGTTTATCAAAGGCAGTTCAAATGTATATATTACTAGTAAAAGAATTCTTTCCAAATTTAAAACTGACGCAACACTAAAGTCGTATCAAGGCTCAATTTCATAAATGTCTATGGGTAACCGCAATTCATAGGGAGGCCATATGATTAACCGTTTAAAAAAACAACGTTATTATAGAGCGAATAATCGACGTTTTGAAACAAAAAACCCGATGAAGCCTGACCATGCAGGTTGTGAGAAACGGTTACCATAAACAAACTACGAAATTCGGATAAACTGCTTGAATTAAATAAAAATAAGAAATCTGTGTTGACTTCTTGATTTTACGCGCATATGATACAAATGAATTGAAACTAGTTTACAAATTTTATCGTTTTTTTGTTTTGATTTTGAAATTCCCGACTTTCAAAAGAAATTATGGCTTTCAGTCCGTAGACCATTGAAACTTCATCGAGTATCTATGGAAAATATTCAAACCCGTAAAAAGATTTTTAATTCACCAATTCACTAATTATAATTTATATGACTCCGTGGCGCTGGTGCCGAGGTATGTATTCGCTTCGGTGCCGCGGGTCTTGGGCTCGATTCTCACACGGGACAACTATTTGTCAAATATATGTATGTAAAACGTCCTCACGGTATTGAATAATATTACCCTTCAATAAGGGCAATGTTAAAAAATAATAAAAAATTTCGAGTAGTATTCCGGGATATCATCGCACATGGCCACCCTACAAAATAATAACATAATACGACCAATTCAAATGATTATCGCCGACCGGAAGTCGTTCGCAGGAAGCGTTGTGGGCGTTACGAATATCCCAATACATCGAAAATTGCGGATGAGTTTTTTTTTTTGTTTATAAACGTAATAGTTTTACACCTTACAACCTTCCTATGCTGATAACAATCGCAATTCGATGAATATATTGTTTGACATAACTGAAGATGTACAAAATGTGTTGTTTTCGCACTAAATTACTGATGTAGATGTTAAATTATCTTTTAATTTGTGAAACTGACCGCCCATTTTATTATCGTCTAACTAGGGCCATTATGTTATATGGAGATCCCTTTAGAATAGACGGTGTGTTGAATAATATATAGGTTTGTTGTTGTTTTTTTTTATCTGTTGTAAACAACAATAGTGAACTAGAAAAACCACTCAAATTTAAATAGCAACTCCTATAATTCTTACAGAGGAAACTGCAATTACTCGCCTCTGAGAAGTCCAATAACTTTTTACTTGTAACTTATTCCTAATTTATTCGTATTTATATATACACAATCATGTGTTATGTGAATAAAACAGATGTGCTTCCCGAACGAGCCTGCCCTTTCATGCAGCAGCAGAACGTGGGTTCCTCTGACAAGAGACAATTGGGACCGATATTAAGGAAATTGTCAGACAATCTTCAAATTAGCCCGAGCATCCTGCGAAGTTTGGTAGCGATGGAATCAACAGACTTTTTTAATCATTACGCTAGCCGTGCAAAGCTGGGGTCTTTGGCTAGTAATAAATAATTCCTTTACCTTACAAAATAGATATTTGCTCCATAGAACACACTTCGCTGCAGTCAAAGTCTAGCGCGTATCAGAGATCCTATTATCCGATAGAAATCGGAGGCAGTTATCTAATGACTTACTACGTAATTGCGGGGCGCACTTTAATATATCAGTATAACATTGTGTTTGCCGAGAGCGCGCGCTTTTGACGCATAAATCATGGCTCCCTATTAAACCGGCACGCGAATTACACAGTCGTTAATTATGAAAAGATAATTGTGTTTCTTTTCGCATCGCGTCCAATGTCTCTTGTACACTTGTGTGGATAAAGCGCACGTGATGTAACGAATTATACGCTTTTTACGCCGAGCTGGGCGCACTGGCGGTTCGGAAGAGTGATTTTATCGCTTTATTTCGCGATTATACCAGATATGACTATTCATGTTTGGTATGTACAATCGTGAAATAAAGCTACATAGCTTCGACGGTCCAGTTATATTGACGTTATAATAGCTTACTTACAAATTTCAAAAAAACTTTTGAATTTGTTTATATCGTTACGACTAAAGGTGTATTTTTGTTTTATTTTGCGTTCACAAGATGCTTTTTCTAGCTACTCATCAAAGTCTGAGTCAAGCAAAAAAGTTGTTAAAACAACAAAAAAGTCGACTTTGATATCCAGAAATGTGATAACTTAATGGATAATTCTTTTAATATATTGATTAATGCAATTTTAGTGTATTTCTGCTTAAAAATCTTCTATTGATAAATACGTTTTCAAACTAAAGTGTGCTTTGAAATCGAATCCCTTACTTCATCGTCACGATCTTCTTTATATTTCATGGAAATTATTAAAATAAGAACATACTGAGGCGACATAAAGCAAGCCTGATTAATCCCAATTTTACTATTTTCAATCAACCAATGAATTAATCCAAATTCATAGCCCAAAAAATAAAGTAAATTCTAACGTATACATCTACGCCAATAGTGGTTTTTATAAACCAGTCCATTAAAATAACTCCTTACCGTGACTGTGAACTCTGTAAATCGTCCAGAACGTCGGAATTTAAATACGATAGATTTTTTTTTATGTCACAAAGTGACAAACGAGCTGGCGTTTACCTGATGTTAAGTGAACGGGGCCACCCATGGATATTTGCAACACCCGTAGGGTTGCAGATGCACTGTCACCTTTTAATAAAGTGGCCCCGGCTACCTCACTCACCAGACGAAACGCAGAAGTGTAACACTTCTACTTCACGATGGTCTTCTGTGCGGTCGTGGTACTAAACATGACGGACCTGCCAAATTCTTGCAACAACAAACACAGTTGCCTGGCTCTACCACTATAAATGACATGTTCTTTGTCGATTTTTGTTAGTCTAGATTTATTTATACCTTGAGTCTTGGAAAGCTCCAAGCATCGGAGCAAATAAATGACATTTTTTGTTAACAGCATATGTGTCTTGACTATGGTAGGGTCACGAATTGGCCCGGGAAAGTATCACTGCCCTACAGAAAATCGGCGAGTTACGAAAGTATTATACGTTTCGCATGCATATGAGGTGGTAAGCTGGCCCCGCCGTTTTTTTTATGCGAAAATTTGCCAAACGAGCAGACGGGTCACCTGATGTTAAGTGAATACCGCCGCCCATGGCCATCTGAACACCCAGGGTTTATAGATGCTTTTAATAAAGTGGCCCCGGCTACCTCACTCACCAGACGAAACGCAGAAGTGTAACACTTCTACTTCACGATGGTCTTCTGTGCGGTCGTGGTACTAAACATGACGGACCTGCCAAATTCTTGCAACAACAAACACAGTTGCCTGGCTCTACCACTATAAATGACATGTTCTTTGTCGATTTTTGTTAGTCTAGATTTATTTATACCTTGAGTCTTGGAAAGCTCCAAGCATCGGAGCAAATAAATGACATTTTTTGTTAACAGCATATGTGTCTTGACTATGGGAAGGTCACGGATTGGCCCGGGAAAGTATCACTGCCCTACAGAAAATCGGCGAGTTACGAAAGTATTATACGTTTCGCATGCATATGAGGTGGTAAGCTGGCCCCGCCGTTTTTTTTATGCGAAAATTTGCCAAACGAGCAGACGGGTCACCTGATGTTAAGTGAATACCGCCGCCCATGGACATCTGCTACACCCGAGGGTTATAGATGCATTGACAACCGGCTACCTCACTCACCAGACGAAACGCGAAAGTATTTGCTGTTGTAAGTATCAGGTGAATCGCTTGCTCGTTTACCACCTTCCCACTTAAAAAATTGCTACTAGATATTAACCCAAGTGTAAAATTGGCGGTGAAGGAAACATCGTGAAGAAACCTGCATATTTTTAAAACAATATAAACAAATATTTAGGAAGATATGTTAAGTCCGCCAATGCGCGGTGAGGTCGCGTTGTGGACCCTTATGGTAGGTATAAGAGGTAAAAGAATGTGAAATGTATAGCCTATACATTTACTCTATTTTAGTTACTTTAATTTAATTTTATATGCTTTTTAGTAATGCACAAACCGCCATTGTGAAACTGTTTTCGAATGCTTTCTTAATTTGCCCTTCGAACCATCTCACAGTCTAGACCTGCTTCAGTCTTTATTGCGCACAATTTGCAGACGCCGTAACAGATTCTATCCATTTTTAGTCAGGCTACCGCGCCCGCCTCGTCGGCCAATATCTTAAATTACAGTGCGGGCTGATTGCTCCACAGTACCTACGTGATCTTCGACGTCGGTGCAGACAGCTAGAAGCTACACAAACATAATGATATCGCATTTCCTTAATATTGGCATGATTGCTGGCTCGGTGCTCCAGGAACTGCGTATCGTTATACATTTATCGAACGTTTGCATCGAGTCATCAAAGTTTGCCTGTTATTTTTTTAATTTTTGACCGGCTCAATATTCTGCTAAGTCCCTTAACTGTATAACATTGAGTATTACTCTTAAATCTCAAAATTCTATAACTTTACATAATTTGCCATCGAATTATAACTAACGGGATGTCGTAAACAAAGATCATCAAGGTTTCGGTCGAAGGCATTTCTCGCGTGCGTTGCCGAACTATCCGGGTAACATAAAAAAAAAAACAAAGCAACCATCGCAACGGTGTAAATTGAAACAGTGAACGGAAGGCCAAAATACTGGGGACCGTAAATAATCTGTGTGGGGCGAAGTGGCAGTGCCCAAAAATCGCTCGAACACGTGCTCCTGCAACAATTTCACGTCCGATTGAACAGATAGCCCGGTTCTAATGTTTGAGTTGCGTCTGATGCGAGGGGCTCCGATATGGATGGACTAGCTGCAACCCGCGGCGATACTCGCTTTAACCGCTATCAGTCTCTTACAGATCGCATTCTATTCCAGATCGATGTATTCGAGATGAAGGGTCGATTACAGTTGAGTGAATTTTTTTTCTCCAAAATGGTTTAGGTACTGAAAAAGTTCTTTATTTTATTGGTGATATTATATGACTAAACGAGTGACTGTATTGAGCATATTATCATCATTCTCATTAGGTCAAAAAACTTGCACTAGCAAAAAATATTCACAAAGCCTTTTCGCAACTTTGGAAAGATTTTTATATATTTGAGCTCAATTGACATATACTATAGCGATAATCAAAACCATCTCCACTTATCCTCGAAATATACAATAGACACAGAGTTGAGTTAAAGAGAGACAGCCTCGAGCCTGGATTAACACATAACTTTTCATCTCGTAACAAATAACCAAACAGTCCGAAGCGAATCACGTTACGGATATAAAAAATTAAGTTACTAGTTAACTTCTTAGTTACAATATTAAGGCACAGTCCATCACGCGATCCCACTGGAGATTGGTGAGCTTCACATGTCTTCGAAATATTTTTCCGTTATTATTTCGAAAATACGCAGGTTTCCTCGCGATGGTTTCCTTCACCGCCGAGCTCGCGATAATTCGTTTAGGAGCGAGCGCCCTAACAAAAAGGCCGGGATGGCTCAGTGTGTTCTGCCGGCTTTTTTATTTTATTTCAAGTTAATTACTAGATCAAGAACAACTACAACCGTTGCGATACACGTCAAACAGATACACGGTAAGAGTAGGTCGGCAAAAAATGACATTCGCCGGTCACGGGCTCCGCTCGACCTCCGACCTTTCGAGTCGAGGCAAAAAGCTGGTGGGCGGGCACGCGGTCATGATATGGGATGACACGGGCTCCGTTTGTGCGGTATTCGCGAAATAGCAGTCGCATTCGGCTGCGGAGTACAAAGCCATTTAATGGAGACGACCACGAACATCACTGCATAGTATAAAACAAAGTCGTCCCGCTGTCTGTCTGTCTCTATGATTAGATATTCAAAACTACGTCTGCGCTACAGACAGCTTAAATTATAAATAAAATTAAAATTATTAATATGTATAAATTCATGGATAAACCATAGACTATTCCTAATACTTGTAACACTCGCGTTGAAAGTTGACCGTTAGATTTTAAATATATTGGCTTATAAGTGGTTAACGACTTGTATTCAAATTTGTACATTCGCACTGACTTCCAACCGTAACCGACTCGCATTCGAATACAAAACTAATTATTTTCAGTTGAAGTTAAACTCATATAACAACTTCAGAGGCGTTATTTCTTCTTCTTGATTCTATCCTGAACAAGAACTGGCGACCGTAACAGGACATTTTATCCTTATTGAAGAAAAATAAGAAGATTTTTGTTCCCGCACACGTTATCTACCGGGCTACTGAAACCAGCAGTCGGCAGCATTGTAGTACGTAATCTACGTGTTCAGCACCGCCTGTCTGCCTACTAAGCTGAGATGAGATCAACGGATCTTGATGCGGTTTTCTAGATAGAGTGATTCAAGAGGAAGGTTTATATGTATAATCCATGCATAATATAGTAGAGAAACATATTATAATTAGTATCAGAATTGCACCCGTGCAAAGTCGGAGCGAGTCGCTAGTCTACAATTAGCTAGAATACGTTTCGTGGTAATCCACTAAACGTATTTTAGCCGATAGTGCATGAATTAATCTATCCTTTCCCTTTTCATACTTTTGTCTTTATTCATTGGACGATATTTTCAATTGCAATGTCGGAGACAAGTTTATTCGGTCACAGCACCCGCGATATCACCAAGCCTCTTTGAAATCTAGGACTTATTTCCATCGTGAAATGGAATTATTGGATGTGACCATTTTCCTTTTTTCAAAAAAACGTGTTTTACTTGTTTACATCGTGATCGTGTCGGTCACGCAAGTATGAAAACGTAATTTTATCCTTCGCAGTACGTATACTCAACGTTATAATTTGAAGTTTTAAATTTTTAATCAAAGTTTGTCATACGGTGTTTTATTTCTTTGTTATTTATAAATAAAATCATAAGATCCTTCGATTCAAATATTTATTTGAATTCAAGGATCTTAAAATTACATTTGTAAAACTTTATGAGATAAGGAATAAACCTGCGCTATTTAATATTTAATTAGTTATTACTTTAATTTTTGATTGATTAAATTACTTCCATAATTTTAATTAGTTATTGAAAGCAAATTTCAAATGTTAAGACAAAGTTGTGGAAAGAGTGTACTGTACTTCGCAACGAATTAGAAAAAGATATTTAAGACTATTTCAAAGCGCTTTATTATTTTCACGGTATTTACCGTGATTATATCACCGCAAATATCGCAATTTATTTTACGAATCACTTTATGGAAATGATTTTCATCAGTAATTGCAAAAGTATATAAAGATTATATCGTGGAAAGAAAGTTTATTTAATTTAAGAAATCAATGGTATTTTAAACTCGGATTTTCATATTTGCATAATTAACTGTTTCAAAATGAACAGGTAATGTGGCAGGTCGACAAACTGAAACAAAAAATTATTTTACACTAATTATTTGTTTCAAGCTCCTATAACTCGAGAAAACTGCTACAAAGCTCTGAATTAAATTCTTTCTCTGAACGGTAAGAGGTGTAAGATTTTTTCCGTTATAAAACCTATTGACTAAACGTACGTGATCCTCACATTTAAGTGCCGATTTATCGCGTGTCAAGCTGCATATTTTTAAAGGTATAATAAAAAAATATTTCGAAGACATGTGAATTCTGCTAATCAGCAATGGGTACGCGTGGTGGACTTTGTCCTAATACCATCTGTACACAGCGAGCGTCGAGTCATGCTCGGCAGTGGGTTATCTAGCAGCTTTACTTGAATTTTACGCGTCTTCAGTGTGATTCGTATAAGATGGGTGTTCAGATATCAGTTATTTTTTCATTAATAGTAACAATCGCTGAAAAAAAAAACTAAAACCTGTCCCATACATACATTGGAAACAGTGGCGACTTCCGAGGTTCAGGCTAGGCGCCCCGTGCGCCAGGCCACCTCAAGTCCGTCAGAACTATAAAGGCCAACAGTGGCTCATCCAGCCCAACAAAAAAAGTGGTGACTAGCCGATTTTCCCACATTAGAATCGGATTATGATCGTGAATATCAAAATTGGAATTCCCATACGCCTGGTTAACATAACGCAATCTGTCATAATGACACACATACATAATACTCTTGTTAATGTCAAAGATTAATAGATGCGATTTTAGAGGCAGCTTGCTTCTATATTCATCGCCTCTGAGAGAAAATGTCGTTATGTGTGTGTCGTTTTCTCGCTTTCTGATGAAATTTCCTGCACGAAGTATTTCTTTTCAGCTACTACACGCTACTACGCTGGCGTAGTTTGGTAAATATGAGCAACGTAATATTTATAATGTGTAAGTGAAAAACACTTTTTTTGTAAAGAACATCAAAGTTCCATCCGGATGATCAATGTTCAATACATCATATATCGTATGTCAGCAAAAATACAATAAAAAATCATGGACTTGGATCATAAATTGCGGTAAACACGCTATGAGACATTTCCTATGATTATTGAATATAACCGACTAATCGAGTGAGTGAAAATTCTTCATTACGGTATGGAAATTATATTTAAATTATATTGGTATAAATGATGTTGCCTTTCTGTAAGGTATATCGCTTATTTTAATCTGTGGCCGGCGCGGATCGATGCAGCGTCTGCCGCCGCGCGTCACGTGGGCGACGCGTGGCGGCAAACGCAGCAACACCGTGGTAGAGCAAGATTGATCCCAATTTAAGTATTAGATAATGCGCTTATTTATAATCCAACAAGAACAACTAATAAGAATGGTCGTTAAAGATGATGGTAACGTTTAAAAGTTTTTATATATCTTTAATACCGAAGCTCCAACGGCAAGCGACAGCGTGGCGTGACCGTGTTCAGCTAGTAATATTAATAAAAAAATAAAACAATACGTATGTCAACATTTACTAACGTCGTATTGAAACTTAATATGAATAAGAAGTAAAAATGGAATATAATAAACTCATATGCATTTAGAACATTCGAACTATTATATACTAATGTGTTGTATACTCGATTTTTGATACAGTTGTCCAGTAGCTAAGTATTTTAATAAACAAAATTAAGACAAAAATGTTTGCATAAAAACAGCTATACATATAAAGTAATTTGTTATAAAGAAAAAAGTAAAGAAAAAGAATCTAAAAATCTTTATTACGCATGAATGCAATAAAAATTTACTAAACTTCATTGGATATATATTTAATAAACTATATGTATGCTTCGTGGCTCACTGCCCAAAATACGGCTACTATAGGTTTAGGCTATATTATATAGGGAGCTGGTAAATAGGCATCTCATATTTAATGACAACGAGAATTTACATCAATAGTTACATCACCTATACTAAAATTTGATTTCTGTTTACGCTTCATTTTTCATTATTTTTTATGCGAAAAGTTGTCAAACGTGCAGACGGTTCACCTGATGTTAAGTGAATACCGCCGCCCATGGACATCTGCCACACCCAAGGGTTACAGGTGCGTTGACACACTTTTTGGAAATTGGGCTCCGGCTACCTCACTCACCAGACGAAATGCGAAAGTATTTGTCATACTTCCACTTTACGCCGGTCTTCTGTGAGGTCGTGGTACTTACCCGGACGGGCCTGCCCATTCGTGTAATAGCCGAGGCTGCTGCGTGGCCCTACCACCGTAAAGAATAAGAAGACCGTCATGAACATTACTAATTGATAAAATTAATTGATTTTACCACTTTTAGACAGAAAAAGGTAATAAATTTAATTAACAAAAAGTATGTATGCATTTATATCACACGCACGTCCTTCTTTAGGGTAACAAAAAAAATATTTAACGAAAAAAATATCAGGTAGGTACTCCTTGATTGTGAAAAAGTCATTAAATGCAATTGATAACAGTTCAAATAAATAACTTGGAATTATAGGTAAATGTCAAAAAATTGTTATTGGTTGCCATAGTAATACCGTGAAATTGATACAGTTGGTTGTAAAGCGATCGCTTTGCAACAATCTTCATCATGTCGCTTTTTGACTGTCGAAGTGCGTGCTCATCATAAAAATTTTACTCTCATAATTTTTTTTTTTTTTTTTTTTTTTTTTTATGGGAAAAAAGCAGCAAACGAGCAGGAGGCTCACCTGATGGTAAGTGATCACCGCCGCCCATGGACATCCGCAACACCCGAGGGCTTACAAATGCGTTGCCGGCCTTTTAGGAATGAGTACGCTCTCTTCTTGAAGGTTCCCAGGTCGTAACGGTTCGGAAAGACCGCCGGCGGCAGCTGGTTCCACAGAGTGGTTGTGCGAGGCAGGAAATGCCTTGAAAATCGCGCTGTTGTGGAACGCTGGACATCGAGGTGGTGTGGATGAAATTTTTGGTTTTGGCGCGATGTCCGTTTCTTCCAAACGCGCCAAACGAAGTATAATATCAAAAATACTCACATTGTATTGTCAGAATATTCCACAGAAACTACGTACGATCTCTTAATAACAACATGATACTGGTCGTTTGTCACTTTTAAAGCCCATTTACATGGTGCCAGTTTCTTGCCTGTTGTATACAATTAAATTGAAGCAATAAATGAGTTGCATGGTCTAAACAACACATAACATTCTTGACTGTTGAACAAGACTTGCTTCAAGTTTTGTTTCAAAACTTTCCTTGGTGTAAACTGCACACACAATAATTTCTTAAGCAATTCTTGCTTTCAATTGCATTCTCTCTTCCTTTGCAAACATGAGTGCGATGAGTGAGGGTGTTTAATGGTTGCTGTCGTTTTCAGGCAAGAAATATTGAGAAATGGTCG